TGTAACAATCCTAAAATTTCAAAAAAAAAAAGGAGAAAAGATGCTTTTAAATAGGTGATGGTCTGTTTGAGTATGATGGTCCTTGGGGACCATCACTATTTTCAAAAGTTTTTGCCTTTGCCTTTGCCTTTGCTTTTGCTTTTGCTGCCTGCTTCTTGCTGCCTGCTGCTCGCCACGTCCTTTAGCGGACGTGGTTTTCGTATGTTAAAAGCAGACGCTTAACGCGACACCTCAGGTATGAGGTAGAGCGTAATAAAATATTATAATAATACGTTATAAGAATTTAAATAGGGGAGGTGAGCACTCCCACTCTAGAAAATTTTAAGATCTCTCTCTCTCTGGTCGAAACACCGTGAACTTCTCTCTCGAACCGAATTTTTTTATCGGAAGCTCCCTCTCAAATAATTGTGGGTAAGTGCCATCGTCTTTCTGAAAAATAGTCTATTTTTAATAAATAGTGATATTTCCGTCTAGGATCTTTATTTTATCAGTTTTGTGTGTAAGTGACCTCATTGTCTCGAAAAATAATCCATTCTTTTTAAAAATAAAATGAAATAATTATTTATGCTTATTATCATGAATTTTAGGCGCGATAAATTTTATGCGTACGTGACCTCATTATCTTGAAAAATAATCTTTTTAATAAAAATTGTGATATTTTATCTATGTTAGAAATTTTGAATGCTGTAAATTAGAAAAATAAATTTATTCATTTTTCTTGTCTATTGTTAGAAATAAATGTGATATTTCTGCTTTTAGTAAAATTGTGATATTTCTTTCTACTGTTTTGAATATTTAGACATTGTAAAATTCATGTGCAAATGACTGCCTTATTATTTAAAAATTGACATTTTTGCAATTGATTATAGTATTGTTGTGAAATGTTTATTTGTGAATTGATATTCCATAAATTGTGATAATTCCGTATTCTTGAATTTTTATAAGAGTTTTTCTATACATATTAAATTGGCAATTATGCTAGAATGCCTTTACAAATTGCTACCTTTCTAAATTTGAGCCCAAAATATTTGAGTGGTTTTTTTTGAAATGTTATAGAGAGTGACTGTTATTAATGGTTTAAGTGAAATTCATATTAATGGTTTCAGTGATATGTTGAGTACATGATATTGCTGCTTTCGAATGTTTAACGAGATTTAGAAATAATTTAAGTATGCAAGTGGACTCATCCGGTACGCCGGTGAGGTATAAGTGGACCTATCTAGGACGCCGGTAGGGATTAAGTGGACTCATCCGGTACGCCGGTGAGGTATAAGTGGACCTACAGGGATTAAGTGGACCTATCTGAGACGCCGATAGGGATTAAGTGGACCCATCAAGAAGCTGATGGGGTATATAGGTGACCTACTTGGGACGCCAGTAGGGTATTTTGTGAAATCCTTTGAATTATGTATTGTCGTTAAAAGTGTTATAAGCATTTCAATTATTCGGATTATACTTAATTATGCATTTATTGAAAGTGAAACTGTTGATGCATTTCTGTTAATAGATCTCATTTTGGAAAATATTGATATCTTTCAATCATGATTATTTTTAGAATTATGATGATCACTTACTGAGTAGCCAAACTCATCAAACTATGGTAAACATTTTTTTCAGGATAACTGCGGTTTCATTTTGAGTGCTAGTCAAGATCAACCTTGGAAGATACTGTTGTTGTACTAGCTTTCTTTATTTACTTTGTAAGACCTCGCCACTGTAAATTTGTCCTATCAATAGATGTATATATGTTTTGCCTGTCACATCTCAGGAATAACAGTATTGTAAATGCTTGGGGTGTGACATATTTCCTTTACTGCATACGCGAATAGATCGAATTCACTATCATATATAATTCCTATTATCTCTATTTTTTGTAAATAATGGAATATGTAAATTACCAAAAAAAAAAAGTTATGAATCCACCACTATAACAGGATATAAAAAACATACGCATTTATTTTTTGTAGATTACCTCTGTACCTATAAATAGTAGCTTCATGTGTCTTTGTTCAGATCCGTCATGATGTTCTTTGTTTCTGTCCTTGCAAGCAACAATTTGACCTTTTACGTGATCATGTTTGTTGTGCTAAAAAACATGGTTAAGTGGTATCTCTTGACCATCCATCATGTAATATGAATGACATAACTATTTTAATATATAATAAAAGAATAACACACCTTTTACTAAGAATATATGAATTGTTGTAAATTTCTTTATTTGCGATATTCTTTATGAAATTTCATTTTCGCCATGCAGTGAATATTCTTTAATGTACAATTATATGTTTTCTTTTATTGTACCCCTAGACAACGCAACATATAGTTGGCCATGGCCAAAAACATAGTCCTCCAAAACAATTCCAACCAAGGGGATTGTATGTTTTTAAGTTTTATAAATAGTCATTGCAAATGCAAGGCGAATCGGGAATTGTTTCCTCTTCAATTTTATTAGGTAAGTAGAATCTTATTGTGGAAGATCAATATTCGTGGTAAGAGTACAATATTTCATGTGTGCTTCCCATCAATTATTTTAGCTTCGGTTGTATTTTAAGTGAATGCCCTACACAATAATTTATCGCTTAGGAAATTAAAGACTAAACCTTGGAAATTACATGGCTTGGGATTTAGGTTTTTGAAACCAAAATGTAAAATCATATTTTTCACGAAGCTCACAAATTTTCCACCTTGTTGATCCCTCTTTATCTTGCTTTTCCCCCAAGACAGATTGTCTATGACTGAAATTTTATAATTCAGTGTTCCATCGTTGTGATTGATGAATCAGGTAATTAAAGGTAAATCCTTGAAAATTACATCGCTTGGGACTTAGGTTTTATAAACCAAAATATGAAACCGTATTTTCGACTTAGCTCGCAAATTTCCATCCCCATCTGTCCTAAATATCCCCAAGGTAGATCACCTATGACTGAAATTTTATTTATTTTATTATTCTATTGTTGTGATTGACAAATCAAAGGCAAAAACTTTAGAAATTACATGGCTTAGAACTTAGGTTTTAGAAACTAAAATGTAAAACTATATTTTCCACGTGCCTCATAAATTTTCTAATATATTTATCCCATTTGTCTTGATTTTCCCTCAGTGGAGCATCTATGACTGAAAGTTTGTAATACATTGTTTCATCATTGTGGTTGACAATATAGGGAATTAAAAGTAAAATATTGAAAATTATATGGCTTAGAGCTTAAGGTTAAACAAAACCATAATATGAAATCGTATTTTCAACCA